AGGTGCTGTGCGGTATGTGGATTAGGTCAAGATACTCCACCTCTCTGGTCTGGTTGATAACATCGTTCCAACAATAAGCTTGCCGATCGGGAAACTATTCTCAAGAGATTGAACGAGCTCTACGGAAGCCCTGTCCGAGATCAGTATGCTCACATCCCTGATCCCAACAACAAGACCGACGATGAAAAGGAAAGAGATGATTATGTCATTACTCTCGTCTATGACCGGTAAGTCACATCCCTTTTGCCACCTGTAATTAGGTACTAACTGGGACAGATATGCTTTGGGTGGCTCGCCCTATACCATTAATGTCTTTTTGGGCGAAGTATCAGTAGGTTCATACGGTGGACCAGGCTCACAGGGGTTTGTTGGCAGTATCTACAACTTTAGCGGCTCCCTGAAAAATTGCCCAAAATGCAAAAAGCAGGCCGAGGAAGGTGTGAAAAGTATTGCACAAGTTCCGGCTACCATAGCCGCTCGCCACTTTATCCGGAACAAACTTGAAGTACCACAGCCTAGATACGTGGTATTGAACACCTTAGGACGGGTAAGCTTCAGCTTCACTATGTTGCGTGGAAAGCTGCTGACGAATTTATATACAGGCAGTATCAATGGATGTCAAGATCAAGCTTCACAAGGCTAACAGGTCGTTCTATAAGCACCCCGTGCGACCAGACCCTAGAGACCCTTTGACTTATGTGCCTATCAAGGATGGGAAACAAGCAGAGATTGTCCCCTCTACTTAGAAGCTAGTTATAGCTCAAAAGTTCTCTCTTCTGTCGTTCACAGACTGATTGCCTTTGTTGTTCTATTCTATCGGCCAATTGTTCCTCGCGCATAATCGCGTGCCCGTTTCATCAAAACGAAAATTAAAAACAGTTATGCACTCGAATCAGGGTTCCTTCGCCTAGCTTTCCAAGCAAAGCATGTAGAAAAATGATACTTCCTCAAGGGGCTGATTGATGTTTCTGACATAGCTGCTTACAAAGCCTGGTAGTTATGCGGAAAATCACTCGGACACCCCAAGAGAACTCCAGCCACCAATAAAAAAAGAAGGGAAGAATGAAGAAATGTTACAATGTAAAATGAGCTAAGGAAAAATATTTAGAGAGTGCTGGAGTTCACCTATACGAAAAAAACAGTATAGATTTTTCATGACCTCAAAACAATCACATTCTGATATGAGGAGGAAAGACAAAACCATAAACATGTGTAAATAAATCCTGAATCAGTATAGAACTCGAACCAGCAATCAACTGCTGGCGTAATGATTGAAGAATGAAGAATGCATGTCATATCACACAACTTCAAAGCAGTCAATACTCCAGTCATAGACTCGTTTCAGGCGACGTGCTAACCAAAGAAGACGGAATCCCTCAATGTGAGATTCATGAGGTCGGTGAAATGTAAATGATTTTAGGTGGCTGAGAAAGATTTGAGGCTCGAAAGTAACAATGGATCCATACTTGTGGTCCACAGAGAATCCTACATCAGTCATTGCCGCCGAGAAAGCCATCCAAGAAAGAGATCCGCGAGGCTCGGTCCTTGAAAGCAACGTTGTGAATACTTCATATGATTCGGGCTTAACTTTGAAGATATCAACTTTGACCGGTATCTGAGGAAGAACTCTCCGGGGTCCCCGAAGGTAGGTTTGCTCTGTAGAGGCCTGGACTGGACACTCTGTCGGTCGTGTCTTGGGCTTTTGTTTTCGTTTCCTGACAGTCACGTCCTTGGAGGAAGCTTCAAACATGGGAAATCTGTAAGTGATCGACTCTCGTTCTTTCTGCGCTTGCGCCTTCTTCTCGTCACATGTTCGACGTATCTCCTGGAAGCAGCTTTCGTTAACTTCTTCATATAGCTTTGCCAGATCTGTGCCGGTGTAGCTCTCAATCACCTCATCAACCTTGTTAAGAGCTTTAAAGGTGACTCCAGGGCATCGAAGGCGGTCCGGCGGAACCGCCAACTCCGACAAATCTAGGCTCTCTTTGATAGATTCGATTTCAGGATTCATTGCTTTCACGCGATTGATGTATTTCCGACCTTTTCGGGGATTGCTGGGGGGCAGTTGGACCAAAGATTTCAAGTGTCTGAAAAGGCCGGTAACTACCGCAAGCTCATGCAAAACTTCGCGTCCTGCGAGATCATCCACCTTGACCCTTTCATTTTTCGAAATATAAAGACTAAATATTTTCTGGAGCCAGTAACCTGCGTCCGCGACCTTTGTTTCAGATTGGTACAGACGCAGAATATAGTGAGCGATTGGATTTGACCTTGTGAGCCTAGCAGGTTCCGTTGTCAAGACGACACGAGGCTTGGCATGATTGGGACCGTCCACTCGCTTCAAATGCCCGTGGCCAATACTGCGTTGCGTGTAGCGTTTGAGCAACTCTTGCGATCGCTCATACTCGAAATGTATCACGTTCACTAACTCTTGCAGAATCGCGGTACGGTAGAATCGATCGTTGTCCTTGGCATCAGCGAGTGCGCGGAGAAGACGTGTGATGTAGTCCCATATGGCGGTATTGAGGACGAATGTATGTAACATTTCAAACAGGCAGCTGGAGACGTTTTTGTCATGCATCGTAGGAAGTAAAAGATCGTCGGCGTCAGCAATGAGCCCCGGTTGAGTCAAGAACCAGATGTAAATCATGTCGATGAGGTACTCAGGGTCTGTCCGACAAAGCCAGGCCCAATCGTCCAGAGATCTCTTATTGTCAGAGGCCATATCAGCCAGTCTCGACATGTCAATTTTTGGATTCTTCTCTCTGATGCATAAAGCGATCAGGGCCGCCGTTCCCGGTCCCTGTGGCTTTTCTCGGTATACCCCAGCTTTCTCGCGTTTCCAATGCAAGGCGAGCATTTCCCAAATCACCAGATTCATCATCTGAAGAAAGTGCATCTGGCGAGCCAATATGAAGTTACCAATGATTTCCGGCTGAGTGCACCTTGGTAGATCCTTGCCCTTTGGTCCATGGCGCTGGTGCTCAGGGATATGGACCGGCTCTCCATAATGATACTCAGAGGCAAAGCATCTAAAGTTTTCATTTTCCAGTTCCTCGTACGGCGTATCGCCACACTCAATGATCTCAAGAATGTGCTTTTCATCCCCCAATTCATTGTTAGACCCCATTAAGTATTGGTCGCTCAGCCAGTTAGTTGCCCGATGTTGGATCAGATCGAGAAGTAGATCAGAATCAGGATCTGCGAGGTCTTGGAGATTCCATTCAGGAATCAAGAAGCCCATCTCACCCCTCGACTCGTCCTCGTAGCTATCGAGAACCAATCCTCCAGCCTTCTGCCCGATCAGGATCCCTTGTCGCTCGCGTTTGTCGCATCGCTGCCACGTCTCCCGGATTTCTTTCTCGTACAGCTTCCACTTTCGGGATAGATCTTGATGAAGCTCTCGTATGACTTTCACAACGTCTCCACGGTACACGGGATGAGGTCCTAAATTATCTCTGAGCTTCTCGGGCATTTTCGTTTGCGATTTTCGTTCCAAATTGAGAGATATGCTCGATTATTCTTTTGGGTCTTCGTGGGGGTGGGGCCTCAGATCCACGATAATTTGACGAACGTGGATCGAAGATTGATTCTAAGGTGACGAGTAAGGAAGTAGGATAAAAACTTAGAGATCGACAAGATAATATCAACAGAGAATGTTTCCACTAACCAGAAGGCGCATGAAAGATCTCCTGCTTATATTTACACGTAGCACCCCTGGTCTTATTAGTTCTTTGCATGACACTGTTACTATGTTTTCCGGAAGACTCACGTATGGATTCTGCCTTGTGATAGGCTGTAATGGGACTCCACAGCATGTTCTAGGTGACATCTTACTGACGGCTATAGACTATCCGTGCCAACTAGTGCAAGGAAATATGTATTGGAAGATTCCTGAGACCTGGAATGCACTTTATGTTACTGTGCAGGTTATACTATCTTGGCTTTTTCACTGAAATGCTTTAATTTTCAGGTTGTCTTTAACATTACTAAACAGATCGATTTGTAGATAGAGATGTCTAGAAGATTTGTTATCTGCTAGAATTTGATCTACCTTTTGTTTTCTCTAACACGTGATAGCGAATTCATGTAAAATGACAGAGAAGGAAAGAAATGGCTTCGTGCATGAGAAATGAGTAGTAATGAAAAATAAAAGCAGGTAACAGTGTCTGCCACTCTGTCTATCAAGCCTTTGCACGGAGAAATCATGTTGGGCACATATACTATGTTTCATGAGTCACATAGAGCAAGTGAAAATGGCTGAACGTACATTCACTGCTACTGATTGACCGCGTAATCTTGTGTGAGCAACCTTCTGCATTTGGATCGGCTGCTCTCTCTATGCACACTGGGAACGTAGGAGCTCGATATCTCATTCAAAGATATCCCAGCCGTTCGCATACTGAGGCTCTCAGACCCCATATGGATCACAGCTCCGGCAAACATAGATCGTACTTAGATACGACTAGAACAGATTCTGTATATTAACCATGATAAAAGAGTGAAGTGGGATTTCATGTTCTCGCATCCGAGCTATCACCATCACCAAGTGCTTGTCGTCACGTCATCCACCGCATCCACCGCGATTTCCCGTCAAGACTATCAACTTCGGCCGAGGCTTCGTGATTTTCGCCACCAATCCTGCTTCTAACATTACATATGTGCCTATGTTTAGTATAATGGTTTAATATAACTGGAAATCTCCAAGATCTCCCTGTGAATCTGCGCTCTCCAGGCAATACCCGACCGTCTTCAGCAGCCTCCACGATCACATAAATACTGGCTCAAATCCCCTCCTACTCTTTCCCTCCTTCTCTCCCCCATTCCTCTCTTCAGAATCCCACACCATTCTATCCTCCATACCTCTCCTCTTCAAGTAAGGACCTCTTGCAAACATGTAATTTCAAGCCCATATCTGACTTGTTTCCGCACTAGGGTCTCCCAGGTCTCCCGCACCTCGTTATCATCCTCTCCCACACCATGGCGATCAAGATGAACCCCGTTGTTCTCATTGCTGTTCTTCTCACTTTCTTGGTCAATTTCATCCATGCCGCTCCATTTCAAACCACTCAGCCTAATGGCCTTCGTTCCGTCCTCGACAACTTCGACAAAGTGTTGAATGGTGTGACAGCGCTTGACAACGCAGTCAAAGTATTCAACAACAAGACTGACGAACTCCATATCCGCACGCTTACTTATAACGTTGAATGGTTGACCATGACCACCTGGGATCATGTCACCAAGTCCAAAGACTTCAACGACAAAGACAGCAAGAACATCACCGCAGCTCATCTCAAGCTTGGGAAAAGCCTCGGGACTATGCTTGGTGAACTGGTTGCGAAGGTAAATTCTCACCTCCATCAGAGTCAAATGAAACGGGTGCTAACATTCTCTAAGAAAGACGCTATCAAGAAGGTGAACAAGTCCGACTTCATGTTCAACAACTTTGAAAGCCTTCACGAGCGAATCTTTCCACTTTCGGATGCCTTGGAGAATAAAACTACCGATCCTGAGAGCAAGACCATTGATGCTATCACTGATCATATTGACAAGGCGTTTGAGAGTTCGCTCAAACAGCTCCTCTAGTTTTCACCAAGGCTCTCGCAGGTGAACTATCTGAAAACCAAGATCAGTCTTCTGTACATGATACTGTGTTTTGAGTTTCGGTTGTTTCTATCCGCTCGGTATTCCTGTTCTCTGTCCAGTGATGATGTCCTGTTGGTCTCTTCCTTCTACCCAAAATAATTTCTGAGAGACTGTACGGTGGTGCTATCATGTTTTTCTTTTGCCCTGTTTAATCCTTCTGTTTTGCGATCATTGCTATAGACAAGCACCTTCTGGCGCTTTTGGTATGCTCAAACCACGATGTCAGACCGACTCACAACCCCATCTTGCCTGGAAAGAACTCTCTCCAGCTGTCAAATGGGCCGATTGGTGGGAATGCGCTGGCTTTTTTTGAGAAACCAAATTACCCTGCTTCCTTTCAATCACTTTTGTGATCGATTGTTGGATCGAAAATGCGTCCTCGAGGTACTGATTTGGGATACGTTGAGACTTGAAACCGCCGCTTCATCTTTGATAACCTTTGCTCCCTTTCTATGCATCATCAACTTTCGCATCGCTGCTCGGCCGAAACTGCTTCCCCATTGTTAACTAGAAGACTTGTCTTCCAGACGGAACAATGGCAGAACGCCGAGGGACCGCTGACTTCTATGCTTGAGAGTTGTACTACATTTCTGTTTTCAAAATCTTCAAGGCAACTTCAAGTTCTCACTTCCCTAACTGCGAAACGGCATTGGACAGGTAATAGAACCTGCTTTATCATAGAAATCCCAATATGATTTTCTGTTCTCTTCAATTACATGTACCTCTCTTTCAAATACTGAAGGGTTCTCCTTTTATCTGAGATAACAAAGTAGCCTTCGTATGCCCCCATTCGGTGCTTATGCAGTATATGGTCATCCTGTAGTAGGCTCGAAGGGAAAGTTCGAAGTTCATACAGGTCAACTTTGTCTCAAGGTTTCATATTATCTAAGTCAAGTACAGTAACAATAGATTGATATGTCTGATTGGGTATACTGAGAAAGGTATAGTTGGTGGCATGTCCACCAAACGGCTTTCGCATTCCCAGGGACCTTTGCACCATACCATCAGTAAAACCTTTTCTCACTGTTCCTTAAAGTAGTAAACAGCACGTTACCCCTAAAGCTGATGCTCCAACCCAGGAACCTGGCTTTCACCAGCGACATCAAACGACGCGACAATATCATCTAGTTCCTTCTTTTCCCCCGTCGATAGCTCCACCATCTTGGAATTTTCCTCCACTCGGTCAGCAGCCGTGGCGCCGAGAATGGGAATGATCATCCCACAGTTTGCGGTATTGGAGTGTGCTCGAATTCACACCAAAGCAAGCTGTCACGCCTCTGCCTTAGCGAAATCATTCACTTTGTCAACGAGTTCAAGGTTTTTGGGAAAATTCTGCCAATTCAAAAACAAGGTTAGTCGGTTGTCCGACGAACGAACAAAAGAGTAAGACCAGGACAAACCTTTTCCTGAAACCTCCCAAACAACAACCTTATATCTCCCTTCAGAATATCTTCCAGAGACTTGACCTGGCCGGTCCAAAACCCATACCCAAGCGGTGCGTATGTCAGAATCGGAATCCCCAATTCCATACATGTCCCAGCCACTCCATTATGCTGAACTTCTGTACCCCAAAACGAGAACTCAACCTCCGCCACCTTAATCGGCACAGCCGCATTAGCCCGCTTAATACTCTCGCTCCCACCCTCCTATAACCCACGCCTTCTACTTTCACTTCGTCCACGAGCTCCTTCAACGCCCCAACCGTCTCCTCAACAGACACATTGGGATCCAATCACGCCGGACCAAAAATATCCATCTTCTTGGCGGTGCTGAGCTCGCGGGCGCATTCACTATAGCTAGCTCGTACCTCGGCTCTGGTATTCGTCGACGCGAAGGCCTTTACGTCCATGCAGGCGCGGATAAAAACAGTATTACCTTTAACGTGCCCTCGGGACATGTTTCGAAGTATCGACGCAGGAGGGAACGACCAGCGGTCAGCTCATTCAGGGCCATGCCGTAAATGGACAAGGGGGACCAGATCGTCGCGCCGTTGGCGATGGCAGCTTTCATGGCTGCGAACACTTGCTCGTCCGGAGTGGCTTGGGGACGCCAGGTCATGCCTAGAAGGCCGAAGCCGGTGAGTGGGAGGGTGAATGCTATTTCTCCTTTTTTTTTTTTTTTTTGCTTAGTTTTGCGCTGTAGCGTGAGTCATTTCATTTCCTTCGCGAGAGGCGGGATCGATATAAATAGGCAACAGCAGAGTGAAATCCACAGTCTTGTTGAGCTCCAAACATAATATTACAGTCACCATCGGATCTTCACCGGTTATCGCAATATTCTCGCCTAGGATAGAGCTTCGGGCGCCATGGAAGTGTCAAGATGAGGTTATTCCGTCGGCTGACATCGGCTTTGGGGTTAATTCGGAGATAGGCTCGTTGCGGTTTATGGGTGGTTCTTCAGTTGCAACAATAAAATATATTTGTGGAGAACATACTTAAAAAGAAACTATAATACATAACTAGCGACTGATTCGCAGAAAGCGTCCCACGAATGTGCAAGGCACCGGGAGTTGTGTTGGTTGGTGTCGATCTCCGATCTGTAGAGCTCGATTACGAAGATGTGTCTATAGCTATCTCCCCCGTGAAAATTGCATCAGAAAATATTCTTTGTAACACACTACCGATATTTTTAAGAGCTTAGTTGATTATTTGAAAATGTTTCGTCTCAGTGGAAAGAAGTTACGTTTTGCTTTCGAACACATCTTTCATGATAACGTCGATATATAAGTTCGGAATATGTTCTTAGTTTGCGTGAACTTCCGTACGAAGATGAGATATATTATTGCACGTCGTCTGCTGATACAGGGAAGAAATAACAATCTCAATTCGAATTCAGAGTCAAGCTCCAAGCGGTAACAAGTCCACACAAGTAGATGGACGAGTCAGGGCTCCGTGAGTTGAAGGACGCATTCTCCATCGAAGGGCTTGGCAAGATGCACCATTTGGTGGGTCCTTTTTGTCTTCAACGAATCATCCCTTTTGACGGGAGCGACCAGCACTAACGAACGGGGCAAGAAACGCAAGATTCCTGCCGAAACTTGACAGGTCTAAATCGGATATTCTTTGTCGCCTAGAGACAAGTCGCTGCCACAACTCAAAATGAGCATCTGAGCCCGAAGGTCGGTGATTGCTGCATGATAGGGTCTGGTAGGGTCTGTGCGAATCCAGCCCCCTGACTTTAGGTCTCCTTTTAAATCGAGCATTGGTGACACCGTCCGTTTGGGGACAACGTGTGTAGGGCAAAGTTAGCAAATCTCATATTGGGCTTTGCTCCCTTGCATGCATGAATCGCCGAAATCGCCAAAATCGCCAAGAAAACGTCTATCGTCTGTCAGTGGGCCCGAATATCTGGAAGGGGTGATCCATCCCATGTTCAAACATCGACAGCTCTAAATTTGTCGCAGATCGGCAGCCTGTTCGCCCTTTGTAGTCTACTATCCGAGGTTATTCTAGTTATATGTAGACAGGTCAGGGATCGACCCCTATATACATCGTTTAGATCCCGTCCCACTTCCCAGGCAGTTAACACACAGACATCTAGTTAAACACATGCCAATAGCCTCAAAGCCTTATGCGAATAATAAGATTCCATCCTTCACTAGGGTCAAACTTATAGATTAGCGTGAGCCCCCCTCGAATGGTCCGCCTTATGATGTAAATTCATACCACCAACTAAACAAACCCCTTGACTGGAACAGTCCCGCTACAGGGTACGTACTTTAACGCCGATGTGATATGTAGAAAAGTGTCAAAGTAGCGACCATGCCCCCTTCGAGGAAGCCGACTCCTTTTTTTCTTGCTCTTCAGAATTTATTTATCATTCTCTTGTCGTCGACGCGTTTTGAATTTTTTCATTCCAAATACTTGCATCCCACATTGCCATTTTTCTTCCACATTCTCGCCTATTCGACTCACTTAGCTGGCTGATTGGTTAACTTATCCACGATGTCTTTGAGTGAAGTGTCAGATAGTGGCGCTCCAGGGGACTTCGAGCACCCCAATGAGAACCTACGCCGCACGATCATCGTGAGTTTGTATTTCGCCTTCATCGTCTCGACGGTTGCCGTTGTCCTTCGACTCGTGGCAAGACGAATCACCGGTACCGGTTTATTTCTAGACGATTATCTGATTCTCATAGCTCTGGTGTGCATCATCTCTCGTGGTTTCTGCATGACGCATGTTGATCGATCATAGCTTTTCAAATATGGGTGCTCGATCGGAACTGCCATTCGTAAGCACATCCTGTCTTGGCGATCTGATATGACTAGGCTTTATAGTGTACTAATTCGGATTCAGTTCTATTCAACGGCATGGGGTCTCACTTGGAGATGATTCCTCCAGACCACCTCACTGTCTACCTGAAGGTCTGTTTCCATTTCTTGACCGAAACGATGTAGCTAATGTGAAGCAGATTGGATGGTCAAACTCATTCATCTATACGACTGCCATAATGTTTACGAAGCTATCTATCCTCGCTCTATATAAGCGGCTTTTTTCTACTCATAGCATGGTTCTCACAGTCAACATCGTCGCTTTATTCGTCATCCTATGGACATTCGCTGTTTACATTGTGAGTGTTATGCAGTGTATCCCGGTCCAAAAGTTTTGGATCCCGACACTCGACGGCCAATGTATCGAGCCTGCGAAACTGTTCTATACACAGCAGATTCCAAACATCTTGAGCGATGTGATTCTACTCGTAATACCACTGAAGCCAGTATGGTCGTTATCGATTTCCAAAAAGCAGAGAGTCCTGCTGTCATTTGTGTTCCTGGTTGGCTGTTTGTAAGGCTTCTTCAACACTTTGCATCCCAGTTGGAGACGTCTAATGGCATCTAGAACTCTGATCTTCGACATTGTTCGCCTCGTGGCCATGATTCAGTTTACCCATTCCGGACCCGATATTACCTGTACGTCTTCCTATCCTATCTAGCCATCAGATCGCTAACCATATTTGCAAAGTCAACCAAGTTCCAATGGCAGCGTGGACGTGCACCGAGGCGGCAGTGGCCATTACCGCAGCATCGATGTCCAGCTTTCGCCCGCTCTTCCGACTCGGTCGACGCAAGTTCTGGACGGAGGTTCGACAATCAACGTCACCGGGACATTATAAGAAGCCGACCAAAGAGTCGCAAGGGTTCTCGACTCAAAGCACCGTGGTGGACCCTTATTTACTCCAGGACGGAATTTATATGCAGCATAGTGTTTCGATTCAGGATAAGAAAGTCTAGGGCTTTGCTTTTTGTAATATTACACAATGGCCACAGGTTAGGTTTTATAATCCTACACAGACTTTCTACTTTTTGATATCGGTTGAATAAAAAAGAAATTGCTTGGTTGGTAAAGAATGAGGTCACTCGTTCGCATTTGAAAGTTGACGAAGCTTTTAGAGACTGGCATCTTTTTCCATCCGCCTCGCAGGTCACAGGCCCAAAATCGAAGAACCAAAAAATGAAAACAGATTAAGGATATGGATATGCCGTCCCGTTTCACCTCAGGGACTCGGTAATTGGCTGAAGCCGAGCATGTTCAGCCTGATAATCATCACTCATGACAAATCGAGGTGGGGGCCAAACCGACGACAACTTAGGACTGCACCACTCAGCCATAATCTTACAACAGTACGTCACGCTGGAAGTTTTGTTTTCTTCTTCAGCGGAGTCATACTGCTTCATGGTTGAGTAGTCTGTACTCGTTGCCCAATATCTCACCCGACTGCAGTCGTGAACCCGACATGCCCAACTCAAAACCCGAACGTGGAACCAGGGGTCGATATGCTCGTTTGATATGTCAGGAGTGCAGGCCTAGAAAGATCAAATGCAACCTGCCCGATATAAATGAGCTGGGCCCTCTCGGTACCCCGCAAACTCCGGATAAGTCCTGCGAGCGTTGTCGCTCCTTAGCCCTTGAGGGCGTTATTGAGCGTTCGACTTTGGGTCGTCCAGCCTTCAAGTGCGGTGAAAACGAGACAGATCGACAGTCAAATTCTGCCCAGTATCATTCCACTACGCAAAACAAAGAGCTCAGCTCCCCCTCCCCCCTTCTTCGACAATCGGATCAAGGACCACTTGGCCTCAGAGTCGACCGCGAGTCCAGAAACCGCTCAAGAAATACGTGCAGTAGCCGACAAGACCGTGTTTGACTCTGTCCTTGAATTTCAACACTTTTTCGCCTCGGCCCTAGGCAAAGATCGAATATTCGGTGCTACAATTCCTCGCAGCTCCTCAACTTGCATGACTCCTCTCCTAGATCTGGTGAGCCAAGAATTAGCGAGCAGTCTCGACAAGGAGTAAGCAATTGCCGTTCCCTTGAGACAATTTGACTGCTTGTTTAACCCATGTCGCCTTTTCAGCCAAGATATCATCCTAGATGGACTATTGTCAAGACCAGTTCATCAACTGCAGGAAGCACTCGATTGCATGGCTCCCCATATTCACGTTTACCAAAATTTCTTTAAGCATCGTCCTTGTTCACCCAGGATTATTTTTCAAATCCAGTGGGCCACAGTAAGTTTCATTCTTTTAGAGTCTGAAAACAACGAAACAGAACTGGACCAATCCCCAAATACTGTTGCATGTTTTTGATGAGATCGAACAAAAGTGCATGGAACAGATCAGATTCTGTGACTGGGCTCTGCCAAACACCACTCACTCAGGGTTCCCCGAGGAAGTATCGGCTGCTCGCTCGTTGCTGAACTATCGATTCAATGCAGTAATCGGACGAATACACGGGGTAGCGCTTCTTCAAAACCTTTCATTCTACCACTTCAACATGATCATTTCTGGTGCCTGTACTGGAGACGTGTAAGGAGACTGTTCACTGTACTCCCTCCAATACCCCCTGAGGCGGGATATACTCCAACTGTGTGGGCTGACATGATCTAGGTAGTTATTGTGCGAAACGATATATTCTTAACATTGGAGTAGGGGCCGTGGTAATTTAAAGCACATCGATCTGGATAGAATGGGAGCAAGTGATAACTATTAGATCTGAACCTTTGTATAGATCTCATCCGCGATAGGTTTAGGTTCTCCTTCATAGCTGTTGTTTGTAATCAACTACATAGTTAAGGTGGCCGGCGGCGGCCGCCAACTGACCCAAAGAGACTTGCCGCAAACCCCGAGAGCGCGCATCACCCTAGCAAGATCATGGATACGGCCAACTTCAACATGGGGCAATACCGCATTTCTTGGTGCGTCCGAGGTGATAGTACACCGGAACATGCGGAATACCTTGGGTGCCTGGACTTCTGGAGATTGTTTCCTGACTTTCCGAAAGGGAGGAGTCTTAGAGCATTTTATCAGGAAGTTAAACTATCAACAGACTTGCCTCTAGCTAAATTTCTCAAGCCCTAGCGTAAAGCGATTTGCATTACGGTCACGGGAAAGCACAACATTTCTTCACTGATACCCTGTTCATATCTAACGGAATTTCTAGCCATGGTGTTAGCTTTCCCTTTCCGTTTTGGTGCTCGCCCCTTGCCATTTTTTGCTCACTGAGTAGACCTGAGCATGCCCTGAGCACCCCTAAGCGGCCTGAGATAACTACTGAGCACAGTATAAGCGGAAGACCAAGTGCCCTAAATAAGTAGCCTCAATACATTGTACTCTAACTAGTGTAAAATGGATTGGGTATGGAGATTAAAAATACATGTTAACTCAGAGTGTGTTGTAGAATGTTAAATAAAAGATTAAAATCACTGGGCTATTATTTTGGCTGGACCTCGATTCCCTTTATATAAATTATAGCAGACTACATGTGACCTTGGGATTTTCGGCGATTTTCAGCAGATTGCAGCAGTTAACATACTAAGCTTGTTACTCATTCAAACAGTTAATTTTCTATAATATTCTATAACTCTGGCTAACTCATTAATCCTGGCCCTGCAAGGATCATATGGTTGCTCTTCTATCCAAGGTCAAGTTCAGGTCCCCCAGTTGAAGGCCGTCACTTGTTTGCTGTTCAACCAGGTGATGTGCCAAGCCCTAAGTGTTATTACTCCAGACACAGCAGCATAACAACTATTTGCCCTCCTTAGTTGCCGAGTTTCGTGTTTCTTGCTTTTTTATCTCATTATGACATCTATGTCCCTTGCCAAAAACCCAGGAATACATTCATATAGTACTCAGAGCGGGCATCAGGATCACCCATCATAAAAATGAGCTGCTACGACACTTGCACATTCTTAATGACAAAAGCATGAGATACACTCTTCTTCGGTCTGTCAGAAAGGTACTCTTCACCTGGCATCTTCTTGTTTTTTCTTTGTTTCTCAATCTACCGTATCACCCAGACCGACGGCATACCATAATCATAAGCAGGCTGTTACATATAGAGTACATATTCTGAAATTAGGGATAGTCTCAAAGGCTGAGAAATGAATAAATACATTCAACCCCCCTCCCATTCTGAATCAAGGCAAAAACCACAAAGTTAATAGACAATACATGAATAGCAGAAGAAAACGGGCTATCCAAGCAACTATACTCAAACAGTCAGTTTAGGGTGCAGCATAAGACGTCAACACGTATACTCTCGCCCTGTTTGCCAGTGTACAACGGATGTCAGGCGCAGAGGGACGTCTAGTTCTTGTGGCCGCTTTTCTTTCCGCCGCGGCTGCTGCTGCCACTGCCATTGTTGCCATTGTTGCCATTGTTGCCATTGTTGCCATTGTTGCCATTGTTGCCATTGTTGCCATTTTTGCCGGTAGGCTGGGTACCGGGGTTGGTCTGAGTTGCATCGCCACCCTTGGTGGTGGTGGCAGGCTGAGCACCAGTCTCGGTCTTGTTGGGGTCGTATTCCCAGCCAGTCGCGAGGGGACGGTTCTTGTCGGGTTGGTACTCCTTGTTGGCCACCTTTCCATTCGTGTAGATAGGTTCCTTAGGGACCTCCTTGGTCTTGGGATCAATCTGGTAGATGTTGCTGACTTTGCTGTTCTTTAAGAGAGCGGGCCACTCAAAGTCCCACCAGAAGTTGCTTTGGGGGGAGCTATATGGGTACTCCTCCTTCCAATTTGTGTCCTCTGTCGTGAAGAAGTAGACATCGCCTTCGCAACTCTCAGCCAGGGCCTGGGAGACGAGACCGCTGGCGAGCCAGTCAGATGTGATCTCATTACCGGCAGTCTTATCATTCATCATGTTCGGAGGCGTGGACACCATCTTGGGCATGTTATTGCGGTAGGTAAACAACTTGTCGCCAGCATTCCTGTAGGTGACGGGGTCCTTCTTCGTCGACTTAAGGCCAAGGAAGCCCTTTTTCGCGGGCACGTTATCCTTGTACCACTTACGAGCAGTATCTTCGCCCTTTACGCCGCTCAGGCGGTAGTAGAACAGGCAGGTCTTGCCCGCGGCGATATTCAGCTCCTTGATCTTGGCGACGTAGAACGGGACCGAGATCACTTCTTTGTTCTTTTGGGTAGGGGCCCGTATGGCAAGCTCGTTGCCCTCGGGTGCGGCGATAGGGACCAGCTCGGTGGTAACTGGCACAGCGGAGGCGACGCGCAGCAGCAGGAAAAGGGTGGCCAGAAGGGCCGCCACGGGGGAAACGGCAATGACGCTTCGCATGTTGATTGGATCTTAGAGCACGAGGCGTAGTAGAGAGTGACGATCTATACCAGTATAGAATCAATAAAGAATGACTGAATCAGACGGAATCTGAAGCGAAAGAACGAAAGACTGAATGAGAGTGAATGTAGAATGAGTGATGAGAGACTGCAGCTACACGGCAATCAATCTAATTCTTATATCTTTGATCCCATGAATGGGCCGATTGTCAGTCTGGGATGGCTATTAGGGCACGGAGTAAGACGGTGTGAAGACGGAGGCCGACCTGATTTGGGGGGGGGGGGGGGGGGCTGTTTCAAACCGTGTATGTAGAATAGGCACGATCTTCAATAAGATCCGCGTTAAACGTTTAGTGCTACAGCCTTAGGAAAAGGACACGCCAAGCGCAAAAGGCCAAGTCTGCTTGTCCAGGGCCTGTTAGATCTGCAGAGTGTCTTGGCTACCAGGGGGCCATTGCATCAGGAATAAATACGAGTATAGGCTCCACTTTCAGAACGGCCCCCAAGGCGGCCGTCACCTCCTGGACGCGAGCCAGGGGCAGCAGTCAAGACACTGTTCTTCCTTTTCCTAAGCCCTGGCTAGCTTCCTTTTATACACATGGCTTCACTTACCTAATTCTACCCCGGGCATAACTATATACTACATTTAGTCAAATAATGGCCCATCTTACTGGGAACTGGGAACTGGGAGGTCACAGGCCATGTAGCGGGTGACAGGACTGAGAACATGCGGGGACAGGAGTTAGAACAACTAACTAATGCGCGCGTAGAACTTTCTAAGCGAACCGGGCTGGTCTGGGTTGCAAATAGCCCTAAACCTTCACCCTTAAACCTATCAGTCGGCACCACGGGGTAGATAGATCTTAACGCTGACCGGATAACGGCCATACAGATATGTCCGGTCAGCTCGTCCAGCGGAAGATCGGCAGTAATTTATTGTTTTATAACTGTACACTTAATATGTTATAATTTCCGGTACTAAGGTACACGGACGTAATCTAAGTCCGTGATCATTTATAGGAGAATGTTGTCCCGATAGCGAGATTTTGGCTATCCGATTAACGTTTTCCATAGGAACATGCCTAAGTTTCTCTTAAAAGTAAACCCGCACAAAATAGATGGGGGTGAGTGCTCAGAGAGCGGTGATCTGTGATATGAAATACTCACTGAGCTCCCGAAGAGGAAGTCTACAGTCGTCCTAGAAAATCAAGTACGTATAGTTACATATATTCGGTTTATAGAAACATCGAACAACTGGAGGTGGACTACGTCAAGTTTCCGGTCTGCATTCGTGTTGTTCGTTGGACAGGAGGCTAGCGATAGAGGCGTCGAAAATCAGGGTTTGTGTCCAAATATCCCATTGGGGCTCGCTCAAAGTCAAGTTGACATCTATAGCACTCGGTAGATCAAGGCTTGGGCAGGCACTTGTGCTAGCAACTCTCTCCACGATCTCTTCTGAAGACAAGATCATAGCAAAGCCATCCACGCGCGAAATCTCAGTAAAGGGTAAATTCGGGTGAACTGGCATCCCGCTCCGATCAACCACAAAGTGCATTCCACTGTACGTAAAAAACTTCGACCATTGGCTGGCAGTAAAATTGCCATTCCCAAATGCGCAGTTCACCTGATCAACCCTTTGTCGGGCTGCGCTGCTATCCATCTTGTCGTCTGTAAAATGCGCTCCCTGTCCTCTGATCTTATCATGTTGTGAACGGCGGCTGCTACATCGCGGAGATCCCCATTGGCCAGCATTTCGTGAGGTGCATTCATACAGATAGCGTGAATTGCGTTAGGAAAGTACCTTGGCGATTAATCCAGACGTTCTTTGCCATGGACATTCAGGGAGGCCCAGAGCCCCGGGGAAATCTTCGACGCTGCTGACTGATTGAAATATCCACGAGATATCAGATATTGAATTCGCGTTTGGTAAACGAGTTAGTAGAGATAAACCGTCAGAACTCCAAAGGTCGAGACCCAGCTTCCTGGGGGGTTCGACGCTCGAGACTTCAAAGCCACCAGATCACTGCTGAAGAATCGAAGCATGAGCCCTACAACGGGCGGTTCAGGTGTTTTCTGTAGAGCGACAACGGGCTCTGAAGTGCTTTTTGGTATCTTGGGCTTTTCCTCAATATAGAACAGAGGCTGTGAATATCCCAGGGCAGCCTTCCGTTCCGCTGCCAAGAGAGAGTGCGGATCCGACGGTTACGCCCAACATTCCCCAGTCTCTCCTCCCATCGCAAGCTGCCAAAAAACCAACAATAGATGCTTTGGGGTTGCTGAATGCATACTCGTTTATTAGTACTCACGATACGGACATGAGAATGTGTAGACTTGTGCACATTGCCTCGCGGAACTGGCTTAAAAAGAATGGACTGTTTGGTCATTGGGTTGAGAAGGTGAAGAATCGAATGCATGAGGTCTTCCCTAGTAATCACTATAGCAATCGAGGGCTATGGCGAGAATACCTTCCTCATGCTCTAGCCCTTGTTCGGTGCAAGGAGTTCAAGGAGCTCCAAACAGACTGCATTTATATAATGGGTAAAATTGCGGATTGTCTTGGTAGTGATGGACGATTTTGTGAGGCGGAGGTGCTATACGACCAGTTTATGCAAATGGATCAGGAGAAATATGGTGCTGAGCATCCCTCCACTCTGACCAGCATAGCGAACCTGGCTTCAACCTACCGGAAGCAGGGACGATGGAATGAAGCGGAGAAGCTGGAGGTAAATGTCAGAGACAAGGAAGACAGTGCTGGGTGCTGAGCATCCCGACACTCTGAACAGCATGGCAAACCTTGCCTATACCCTGAAATCTCAGGGGATGCTTCAAGATTCATTGACCCTAATGGAGAAATGTTTCCAATTACGCACCACAGTGCTAGGGCCTAATCATCCGGATACCAAATCCTCCTCTCATGCTGTCGAGAACTGGGAAAAAGAACGCATTTCATCCCAAAACCAGCACCTCCTATCAGCAACTACTCAAATTGAACGCTCACAACATCCACAGGGCGCACTAATGAGCCCTCATATCGCTATCATAACAACTCAGCAACGTTCATTCACGGGTCTATCCCTTAGAAATCACCACCTTATTATAGCTTCCAGAACATCTTCGCCCTCACCGCACAGCCAGGAATTGCATAAAGTGGATTGAATAAGAGCTGCTGCAAACTCGAATATAATCCTGGGCCGCCTAACATGAATCATAAGAGTAGTTTATGTTTTCCGGTCGTCTCATTGTAGGGCATCTTGGGATGTGAGTAGAAAGTACCCTATAAAAATTTAACACAGCTGATAGTCACCTCACAAATACTGCAACCTATTCAATCTAATTTCGCTGCTGATCATCAATCCTATTTGCCGATATGGTTGTTTCCAGCCTTCATCATGCCTTCAACTAATTTGCCGTACGCGCGTTTAAGTGGTCCAAAAATACCAACATCCAGTGGTTGAAGAAGATGAGATGTATGTGGAGGCATACAAAGACAGATAATTGCGTTCTCTGGACAAAAATCATTGAATTCAGCATTTTGATGGCTTGAATGGCCATCAAGAATGAGTAATCGCTTCGCGCCAGTTGTGTAGCGTTTTGAATAAGGCTCAAATATCTTTCAGCCAGCGAAGACCTATCTCATCTGTTGTCCAGCCATTTGCGCTATTAGTAAGTCTCCAATCTTGAAGAAGATTAGGCTCTTGATACCAAGGAGCCTGATGTTCTTTCCCTTTCAAGATAACCACTGGCGGGATAGAAATTCCTTTAGAGCTCACACACTCAATGATTGTAACCCATTCGCGGTTTCCTTGGATAACTGTGCGAGGTCATTCACTTCTATCCACTGCAGTAATAACCTTTGAGGTTGTACAGAGCCCCATTGCAAAGCCAATTTCATCAAAGTTCCAGATATCATCTTCATGTATGCCATGTTCCTGAATGGCTTCGCGTACAGTCTCAAACCATGGTCTTATTATCTTTGGATTCTCCTGCTTTGCCAGCTGATATGTAATTCTTATATTGTATCTTGAACGTAGTTCAGGACGGCATTTAACAAAGGAATAAGCCCAGTTGACTCCAAGGATTGCAGTAGAATCGCGTGTACGTTCTTGAAGCAAAATCTGCGCCATTCCACGTAGAAACTCTGGCCGAATTGAAAAGCCACGTTTATCTGCATCAAGCAGTCGCTTCATAAGAGTCTTCTCTTCAAAATCTGTTAATTTATGGCCACTGGCGCGTGTTTCTGACCGTGATTTCATTCCTTTAAGCCGATTGCCAAGAGTGGCTTCAGATACTCCAATTGTAGATGTAGCTTCTCGTTTTGATTGGATCTTTTTACTTTGAATAGCTAATATAGCCGTTTAAATTCGATTTTCATTAGTAAGAGGCATTTTTATTTGATGGAAATGGATAATGACGCGTTGAAGAAGTGTTGTAGTTGAATATTTTGAGGTGGCGGCGGAGGTGCGCAACACGGTCGTGTGCGCAACTCGGCCGTGGATTACGTTGACTATGAGTCTTGATGGCTTCTGCTACTTTGTATGTACTTATGTTTCCCAGAGCGATAATTTCCAATTTCATGAAATAAACGGGACGTGCTACTTTTTTTTTTTTTTTTTTTTTTTTTGGAAAAGACTTCAATAATGTATGTTGGAACGACATTATACGGCAGTTGGACGCGGTCAAGAACGAACACATTGGTATATTCCGAAAGGTTCACCTCCATAAACTACACAACACGACCACGATCCTAAGGCCGATAGTCATCCTATCGTTCCTACAGATTCCTCGAGCTCTTCGAATACTCATATCTATTTCTCACACAGGGCACCGGGCCCGGGACCAGGGACGCCAGTCCACGGCCAGCCTCACCAAACCCGATCGCTACGAGACACGTATTGCTACGATGGCAACACTCAACTCCCAACCAGACGGCCCTCTACAAGCCGCTCTACTGGAGATAACTACAGCAGCCTCTATTAGGGCTACCGAAGGCCAGAGGATATTTAGCCCGATAGCAATCTTTCTTGACAAGCACTGGAGCCAGTCAGGGCTTGCGCCTCACCAGCGAAGCGCGCTCGACGCGTTCAGTAACGACCTGACTGATATAGCCCAACGCCACTTCAGTGCCTATATCAGCGGAGTTTCTTCGACCTTGACTACGACCCTCCCTGCCCCTGCCCCTGCCCCTGCTTCTCTTCCCCCGTCTCCCCCTCCATCCCGCCCCCCCTCCGGTCTTGCTCAGTCGACGTACGCGACAGTCACCCAAATAACCAAGGCCAAAGGCCCCTCTACGTCTCGGCCTAAGGCCAAGCAAAAGACTATAACTTCTACCCCTGACCAGCAGCCTGACTCCCGCCTCTTTATACGCCTCCTGCCGGACTATCTTGCCAAAAATATGGACGCATACGTTATCTACACTAGCCTCCGTTCCCATCTAGGTACCAACAACAAGACACTGAAAGATGTCCAGTCTATTAAGACAGGATTCGTTTCTCTGCCTTTATCTCCCGAAGCTCTCGCAGCCCTAGAGGCACAGAAAGAGGCTATCTTTACTTTCTTTACCAACTGCTAGGTCGAGCGAAGCTCCCGCTGGACCTCGTATCGGGTAATAAATGTACTGAGGAAGGTCGGCCGACTAAATGCAAGCCAATACTCTTTAATTTCTATCGATCTAGAAATACTATTAGCTGAAATAGCTGAAATTACCGGCTTTATTTCAGTTGCAGTAACTGAAACTGCCGCTAGCACCTCTGATACAAATACAATTTCTTCAAGCTAGTTTATTAACTTTCCCGAAGAAAATAAAGCTAAGCTGCCTGTACAACTATCTCTATTTAATATGATTATTAACGCCCAACCTCTATCCAGAAAGATCAAAATATCGCAATATAACTGCTACTGGAAGTAATATAATTCTAGATTCTGTATACGTAACTTTCGATGCCGCCTCTGCAGCTTTACTTAATATACTAAAGAAGGTTACATTAATTACTGCACTGCCGCAGCTTTTCATATCTGCCTCTTAAGATGCTTACACTGCTATAGTCTCTACCTAGCAGATTATAACTAATGCCTTTTCCGGCTCAGCAAGCTAGGGTCTCGGTTTACAAAGGCTCAGCAAGCTAAAACCCGTAAGACATATTCTGTAGCCCTTTCTAAGGTACGGACCGAGAATAAATGCTGCTCCCAGCCTCCAGAAGTCCCTGAAACTAGAATCTCTAGAATTTCGCAAGATCAGGATATGTCTATCGATAGCAATTCTATAAACTTTCCATTCTGTTTATTCCGTCCAGTTATTCTCCCTTAACAAGGACCAGCAAACTTTCTTCTAGTTATAGCTAGAGCAGTACGTTTTATGACACTACTACTACAGAACCAGTTTGGAACTCTTGCGAATGAAAAACTATAAGATTTTAAAATTATTAGACAGATTCCCTTTTAATATTTCAGCTGAATGTAAGCCGCCACGAGACAGCTCATAAAATTATCCTATTTCAGGCATATTCTAAAAATATCAATATAATCTTGATACAGGAACCCTATATATATAGGGACCATACTCGCAAGATCATAAAAAGATATCTCTTATACGAATGTTTTTTCCCTACTGATAATTGGGTGATAAGCGGCCGATCTAAAGTCCTTATTTATATCTGAAAAGAAAAGGGTATACAGTCTTCTTAGATACGCCCAACTTTAATTGATTAAGAAACCTTATCGGACTTTCTTCTACTCTAAATCTCTATACGCTCAGGACAATCTACTCTGATCTTCAATATTTATAATGCCCCTAGTACTAGATCTTTGATCAGGCCTGGTAGAGCTATTCAGGAACTGATTAAACTTTCTGACTCTTACTTTACTTAACTAACCCTGCTGGCAGGCAATTTTAACCTGCGATATACCAGATGGCAGCCCTTACTCCAGCGAAACCCCTCTACCTCAGCTGAACCAGTATCTGAATGGCTTAATCAACAAGGACTAGTGTTAATTTTCGAGGTTGACACCCCTACACATATAAAAGGCAATACCCTTGATCTAGCCTTCGCATCTGGCTCTCTTGCCTTTACAGGGGCATATACTAAGGTTGCGGACTATCTAGATGCTATATCAGACCATTACCCTCTTCTTACTACCCTCCCTTGGGGACAAAGGCACCCAAAAGTCTCCTAGAGACTTAAATACAGTACTCTAGACATAACCCGTTTCCAAACCCTCTTAACCTTGAATATTAATTCCCTTTCAGCAACTGCACATTTAGAGAAGGAACTGGACTATCTGGCAAGCGAGATTATTTCAGCTATTTACAGTGCATATAAAATCTTTGCACGCAAAACTAGACTACAGAGAGAGAGACAGCCCTGATAGAACCTAAACTGCAAGAAAGTACTTTTAAAATATCGCGCAGGTTTTTTCTCACAAAAGGACTTCCGCCGGGTAGTGAGATAGGTACAGCGAAATTACTGGAAAGAAAGAATAAATTTAATAACTACAGCTAAAGAAGTGTTTGACATATCCAAATAGCATAAAATAACGGGATCTTATTGCAGCCTCCCATTGGCAGACCTTCAGCAACTAGAGAACCTACCAGTAGTAGATATACAAGCTAAATGTAACATTTTAGCTCGTAATCTTCTGCAGAACTCCGCAGAAGCAGAAAATATATCACTTGATTCACTAGCAGTCCTATCCAGGACCCTACAATTCCCAGAAATAACAATAGTTTAGACAGAGAAAACTATCTTATACGCAGAAAATATAACTCTAGAAAAGGATAAACTACCGATTAGCATCTTCAAGATAGTATAATTTACAATTAAGAATAGAGTATTTACTCTCTTTCAAAACTGCTTATCAATAGGCTATTACTCTCAATATTTCCGTCACGCAATCCTGGCAATTATTCAGAAACCCAACAAGGCAGACTGGTCTAGCCCCAGGTCGTATAGGCCGATTGCCCTTCTCTCAGTCCTAGGTAAAGGCCTAAAACGCCTCCTAGCGCAGAATATAGCATAGATTGCAATCCATCATAAGATACTTTCCAGCCAACAATTTAGGGCTTTACCTTTTCGTTTAGCAGTCGACCTAATTACATGCCTACTGTATAATATAGAGTTAGTACTGAACCAAAGAAAGACTGCTTCCCTACTGACTTTCAACATCAAAGGAGCCTTCAATGGGGTTCTTTCTGGGAGACTGATCTACCGATTACGCACGTAGAGCTGGCCTAATAACCTGATTCGCTGGATAGCTTCCTTTATTACAAATCGCACAGTCCAGATCTGACTAGATAGCGAATTAGGGCCCCTAATAGACATACTCTGCGGCCTGCCGCAAGGCTCACCTATATCTCTTATCCTGTTTATACTTTATATAGTTCCATTATTCCTGCTGGGCGAGCCCCTGGCCAGATTTAGCTATGCAGACGATACAGCATTTCTTGCAATATTACCTACTTTGGGAGAAAATTGCCAAACCCTATTAAACTTTCTGCAAGAGGCACTGGACTGGGATTTGTTAAAAGGGATAACCTTTGTACCTGACAAATATGAGCTACTATATCTCTTACGGTATCGGGCAGATCAAAACTCTAACATTATATCTTCAGTATCTGCAGGCACTGTTACAATTAAGGAAAATATAACTCGCCCGTATTTACGCTGGCTGGAGATTCTCTTTGACAAAAAGTTTAGTTTCAAATATTATATCTGTAAAATGATTACAAAAGTTTTAATTGTAGCAAATGCACTCCGCTCCCTCAGTAATACAGTGCGAAAGATCAACCCTTATTTCATGCGGTAGGCAATCAAGGCCTGTGTACTCTCTAAAGTCTACTATAGTACTGAAACCTGGTAGCCAGGTTACTCTCGCCCTAATCTACGCACAGGAACAGTCTTAAACCGGGTCCAGGGACACCTGGATAGAGTGACCAAAGTTATACTAGCAGGGGCTAGAGCAGTTCTCCCAGTTTATCGCACAACTCTAATACCAGCTCTCTATCGGGAGTCGGGATTCCTACCAGCAAAGATTGAGCTAGACTATAGAGTTGCTACTGCTGCAGTCCGCATATGCCGCCTTAACCCTTATTACCCGTTTCGCAGAAGAGCAAAAGAGATAATCCGCATAAGCCTTAAGAAAAGCCGTTTTGCGCGCCGCGTACGAGCCCTGCCGAAGTCAGAACAAATAAACCCTTTGCAGAACGCCCCCTGGCTGCTGCAGGAGTCGCGTGAAACAGCCTAACAACAGATTAAAGCTCTAGCAGGCCAAACCAAGGAACAAGCGGCCAGCAGTTTCCAGAACTTTTATATCTCTTTTTCCCAGACAGATATAAAGGTCTTTACAGACGGCTCAAAGCTAGCAAATGGAATAGCAGGCGCGGGTTTTGCCCTATACCAATCAGAAAAACTATACTAACAGTCTTCCTTTTCTCTAGATCCCAACAAAGAGGTCTTTGATGCAGAGGCTAAAGCAGCACTAGCTAGAATCAAAACAGCTTTTAAGCTAATTACAGTTTACCTTGTTACTAACTTCTGGATCTGCCTAGATAACCTAGAGGTAGCTACACGCCTTCTCTTAACCTTCTTGGGATTATCCCAAGAGGTTTTCAATACTTTCTAAGACCTTGTCTCATCCTAATTAGTACAGGAACGATATTTATATTCTGGCAGCAGCTCCGTCCGGATCTGCTAGATCCCTAGTCATATGTAAATACCAGAGAATGAAGCAGCAGATCAGACTGCTAAAAAGAAAGCAGGCATACTTTTTTCTCTTGCAAGTAAACACTCGTATGCCTCATTAAGGCGGCAGACAAAGGATGACACTATATCTGCCTTTCAGGAATATTGGTAGCTTAAGGTCCCGCAATCCTACCAGGATCTCTGGATTACTAAATCCCCCAGATGTCCTGCAGAACTAAAATTCCCGAGACACCTTCTCGCACGGATTCTAGCGGCCCGTACGGGTTATAGAGATTTTGCAGCTTATCACGAACGTTTTAACTATAAAGATGCACACATTCTTTGCCGCTGCAGAACAAAAAAAGCCTCAATCCACTTTCTTTTCTGCTATATCGCCAAAAGATGCCTGCCTCGACTCCCAGGTTCCCCCTCTGAGACAATTCCCTTCCTATTAGGTACCCCAAAGGGCGCGGCCAAGTTAGCTGCCTAGCTAGCTGAAACCCGTTTCTTTGAGGATATCTGTACTCGATCTCCCTTATCTTAACCAGACTGAGGCTTTCTCCCCCAAAAAAAAAAAAATATGCGTTGTTGGTAGTAGGTACGGTCACGGAGTGTAGAAAGACCTTTGCAGCTGGCATTTCTCTCTTTCTCTGCATTGCAGAGACCTTTTCCTTTTGACTGAAGCAGCTATTAAACGCGCCGAAGTCCCCTATCTATACATAGAACTAGCAGCTAGTTAGTGACGCCCAGGGCTCACCCCCTGGCGGCCTTTGCCCCAACAGGGGACGATAGGACACGTGCTTAGGCGGTGTCACACGGCCGTAAAATACAACAAACAAACAAACAAACAAAACACCTCCATAAACTACGTATTAATCTATGTATAGGGAAAGGAAATTAATATATCTCCCCCCAACTCTCCATCCTCTCCACCCCAAAATCCATCTCCATAATTGACTTTCCGAACTCATCCACCTCGTCTGGCCGATATTCCTCCATGACCGTATACATGCGACCCCGCTGCATAAACCCCACATTCCGCTCCGCGCACAACTTCATCCACGAATGTGCCGATTCGGCATCCCACGCGCCCTTCCTGGTCGTGAACATAATGCCCCCGGGACATTCGACAGACCGTCCCTGCATAGCCAGGTAGACAGCATGCACCATCTGCGCGACTAGCCACGTGCGCCGGATACTCTCGGACCGGATCCAGGCCCGCCAGAGGACTTCCTCCTGCTGCGTGGGCGAGACGGCCTGTGTCAACCCCGGCGCGACGTCTTCGAGGGAGCTCTGGAGCAGGAGATGACTGTTCTTCGCAGCGCGTGACAGCATGATATTTGACCAGGAGTAGAGAGTGGGTAGTTGTTGTTCGGCGAGGTAGCGTTGGCGGATGTCGCTGTCGAAGAGACGGATGGTAGAGTAGATGATGAGGGCTTGGACACGACTGACGTGCTCGAAGCAGGACAGTTCCGTGTCAGACTGGCTCTGGCCGTCGACCAGCGATGCGGCGCGCCCCTCAAGAATCCGGTAGATGAATTCTTCCGTGCGAGGGGTGCGTGAGTGGTAACTTGACAGCGCCGTGAAGGCGTCCTGGATGCTACTGGGCAACCGGCTCTGGTAGAGTTGACTGTGAATGAGCGGGTTCCGGGCGCCGGTGGTCCAGTCCGCCAGCCATGCGCGGATGCGGTTGATATACCGCCAGCCCGCGGACACGGGGGTCGGGGATAAGTGGACTATGTGGAGGGGTTGGACGGTCCAGGAGTCTCGCGTGAGAAACCACGCTTCTTGTAGATCGGATAGCGTCGGACAGACCGGCGGGCTGGAGCACGACATCAGATGTAGATCTGACGGGGTCGGCGGGAGTCCGTCCAGAGCAGACAGTGTCGGCGTGGGGAGTCGTATGTCCGCGTCCGCTGGGGCGGCATCCCGCAGGGTCGGCGGGTCGCTGACATCGTCCCCGTACGGAACGAAACAGGACGGTCGCGGCGTCGGATAGATGCACTCAAGACCTTTGGTTTGACAGCGAGTACATGTCGGAAGTTGCTTGCTACATTTCCGCTTCGCTTTTCCACAGGCACTGCAGGCTCTGGGTTCGAGGGTGATCATGATGAGAGATGGATGGGAAGAAGAGAACCGAAGAGCGGACGGGAAGACGCTCTGCGGGAGGCCAGCGGGCGCCATCCCAATACAGTTAGTGCCCGCCGGTTAGGGTCCGCCATCCCGCCGAGAGGGAAGTATAGAACAGAGTGTATATAGCAGGCGAGTGAACATGATGGAACTGTCATTCAGCACTCGCAATTAATCCTCGTCTTCTTTAGCAGATCACATTATCACTTGCCCAGGTATACGTCATGGCTCTTGAACTCTCCGTCAAGCAAAATTTCACCGATTTCACCAAGGTCGTCCATCGAACCGCCCAGCCCATCACCTCCCTGTCTCGACCGGAGCTGAACCAGGCCGGCAGAACGGTTCTAGTGACCGGCGGCGCCACGAACATTGGTTATGCTATTGTGAAGAGCTTCATTACTGCCGGTGCCTCGACGGCCATCATCGCCGCCCGACGTCAAGAAGTTCTCGACAACGCCGCGGCCGAACTCAGAGCGGAGATCGAGAAGAAAAGTGCGTCGGCTACCATTCTCACCTATATCCTCGACCAGGCAAACCCTACCTCCGTGCGTGAGCTCTGGATCAAGCTGAGCAATGATGGAATCGTGGTGGACACACTGGTGTTAAACGCCGCCTCCTTTTCGGAGGAGAAGCCCATCATGGAACTCGGAGCCGACAAGGTCTGGGAAGCCTACGAGGCGAATGTTCGAGGACCGCTTGAATTGGTCCAAGGTTTCACCAGCCAAAAGGCGAATAACCGACCGAAAGTATGTTTCTCTTGCTTCTCTTCTCCTGTTGATCATCGCTAATAACTATGACACCCCCTAGGCCATCGTGAACGTCGCAACCCAGGCTATCAACATGCTCTATGAGTCCCAGTTATATCTCGCGGCTATTCGTCCCGTCTACGGACTGACCAAGAACGCGGGCACGATGCTCATCCAGCAGATAGCCAAGGACACCAATCCGGAGGAGCTGCAGATAGTCAGTTTCCATCCAGGTGTTCTGTTCAGTGCTGAATTCAAGAACATGGGTCTTTCCGAATCGAGCATGCCCTTTGATGACCGTATGTAATTCCCCCAAGCCCTGTAGAGCTGATAGCTGACGCACACTAGCTGAACTGCCTGGATCATTCGCTGTTTGGGCTACGACCGAGGAGGCGAGATTTCTTCACGGACGATTCGTCTGGGCCGCTTGGGATATTGAGGAGTATTCCAAGGGGGAGCTGAGGAAGCGGATCGAGGAAAGTGATGATATTTTGCGAGTTGGTGTGGTTGGATTGAGGGGTGCTTTGAAGGGTTAGTTCATGATGATTGAAATCACAGGAAGATTCCAAAATAGAATTGTTTTCGGTCTTGCCATCCTTCACTTTCAATTACTACTTTTATTGCTCACATTTGATCTCAGAGTTCTTCGCTTGATTGACTGACTTCTTATCAAGCCATACAACATCTTTAGACTATCAATTCAATCCGAAAGCGTCTTATTCGCCGTCAACGGCCCCGCAGAAACCCCATCGGCTTTGTATTACAGAACTGACGATTCTGGCCAGGGCGTCTAAACAGCAACTCACCTCGAGATCTCATCCCGCCAACAATAATGGCCGATAATAGTCTAACCATGATACTAGTTCTCTCATAACCGCAGTCTCGCATTACTCATCATTAGATAATAATCCATCATCAACGCCCCAAGCTTCGACTCCAATGACAGTGCCGCCCGGATGTTGGCGTATATTGGGGGCAGTCCCGGTGCCGGAAACGCCGACCACTGCGAATGCGGGACTAGAGGACCGCGGGTGAACAACTGCAGAAGATAATCGTATTAATAAGAGCTTACAGGTCTCCAGGATAGCTACTAGTGCATGGCGGCCGTTACAGCTGCCTCCATCTGGCGAATCATTGTCTATGTGGCTTGCGGGCGGAATTGCCGTTGCCCTACTTCATGTCATGTATGTCATGGAGGATATGCTGTCAGAATGAAATGATATCTTGCTATGGACCTCAATTCATGTCCCAAATTTCTCTCCACTATAATTGCGATCTATTGATCTAGAATTCGAGCTCATTATTCTCTGCCAGACTGGCATGTTGGTTGGAATGTGGCTGATACTGATGCCTGCAGGATTCAATCCTGATAATCACACCATCCAGCCACATTCACTGCTATTCCCCTCGTCGGTGGATTCCCGGGTCTTCCTCCACCAACTCTAGGCAGGAAGCTCTACCGATTTACTCTTACTGCCAATTAGATGCTCCCTACAGGACGCATCCTGACGTCTTGGCTTAACAAGCCTACTATAATATCCTTGTTCACTTCCTTCGGCCCCAGTCCAGAGCTCAAAATCAATGTAACCTCAAATAGATGCCGATACTCTAAGAGGGCTTGCTAGATACCGCCGGGGGTCTCAATATTTAAACCCCATGCTTGACCCACGCTCCGTAATCTGCAGATCTGTCAACCCACTCCTCCACTGCATCCACACCTAGTTCAATCATCAGCAGTCAGCACCCATCATGAAGTTCACCTCGTTCATCTCCACTCTTACTCTTCTGGCTACCGCCACCGCCAGTGCTCTTCGTCCCATCGGTGATGTCATCAAGCGGGATCCATCTGGTAGCTTCAATCTATACGACTACGGCGTTGCCAGTGGACCGTTGAAGCTATTCTACGCTGATGGTTTGTTCACCTGGATCTCCACCCCCTCTGTCTTCATTATCAATCAGTTACGACTAACGATATCTTTCCCCAATAGGTCTCGCTTACTTTGGCTCGCCCTCCGCATGGTCCGGCTCCGTCGTCACAGACGTCACTTGTAAGTTCCAAGCATCCACCCCATCCACCAAAACCTCAACTCCCAAATCCACCAGTACTACCAACTAAAACCAACCAGTCACCGCCTCAGACGGCCAAGTCATCGCCCACTCCGCATCCAGCACCTCCCTCCCCTCCAACACCCTTCTCTACGTCCGCCCGGACACCAACAGCGCCGCGCCGGTCGGGTTCACAGGCTCAAACACCCCGTCTGACGCCGTGACCGATCAATTCACCTGGTACGGCGCATGGCTGTTCTTTCAGGTAGGAAACGATCTGGAAAGCAAGTTCTATGTGAAAGAGACGAAGGTTCAGGGTGTTTGGCAGCTTTTTTGGTTGTCTGGGGGGTCGTCGGACGGGTTTAAACCGGGGAATGTGAGGAATTTCGCGTAGATTCTCTCGCTCTCAAACTTGGATTTGGCTAGAGTTGAGGTTGGGGTTTAGGTCGGATTTGACATTGGGTGATTGTATTGTGACATAGGAGTTTGTTGCATAACTACACCTGTGTTGTGGCCTTGGTGGGGTCGGAGGAGTGGTTGGTGGGGATGCATGCAGAATGTAGATAGTGAGCATTAGGCATGAGTGAGAATGACGTTTGTGATGGTAAATCTAAGTTGTACTTCAGGGTGAGAGAAACAACGGAGATGATTCGGTATCCAGTGCTACTTGTATACCTCTAACTAAATCAACATACTGGCAAAGTAATGTCAAATAATAAGCTACAAGAATCTCAGACACCCAACACACCAAACCACTCTAAAGAAATATAAAAACCCCTGTATTAGACCCATATAACTACATACACATTTATAAAAAGAAACCAAAATAGAAGTCAAACACCCCCCGCCTTCGAACTAATCATCGCTCCATCCTCCGTAACTCCAATCTCCTCACTCAATCCCTTCGTCCACTGCCTCACCAGATGTCCCTTCAACACAATCCCCAGCATAATAATGTCAACAAACACAATCAAGAAAGCACCCATTCCCCACATCCATCCAACACCAACAGCGCTCTGCCACTGGGTGACAATAAACACCGACATGAGTCCGAAGCTAACCCGATACGCATTCAACGACACTGACGCCTCGACGGGGTCATTCAGGAAGCACTCGATAATGTAGTTATAGCAGACTGGGAGGGCCAGCAGCGCTCCGAACCAGATGAGGAACGAGCCCAGCGCTAACACCATAAAGTGGAGATGATATTCCAGCGCGGCGCCATAGATACCTAGTCCGATGGGGAGGATTATGCTGGGGAGAAGCGTGTTGGCGAGTCGGTACTCCGTGTGCCAGGTTCCGCCGCGACGACGGGCCAGCCAGAGAGGGATCTTGTCGTTGAAGAAGAAGCCGAAGACTTGTGCACTGATTATACCTATCCAGGCGGTCATGGTGAAGAAGGCCATTTGGAGAGAAGAGAACCCGTATCCACCCGCTTCGACGGGGGGTTCGAGGAAGGTAGCCAGCGTGGAGGCTTGCATGATGGGGAGACCGAGGGCGATGAAGATGTACGTGCCGGTGAGGAGGGTGATGGGAGAGAAGGTTACTTGGAGGGGGACGATGGCGCGACGTACCTGGATGGGTGTTAGTAGACATTTTGGCTATATGGATTATTTGGGAGTGTGAGAGTTGTGGAGGTACGTACGAACTCAGAACCCTTGTTCGACGAGGTCGTCTTGACGCCGGGGAAGAAGGTGGCGACACGGTTGGCCATCCAGCCCTTAGGCAGGGGCGGACGACTCGGGGAGGAAGCATTACGCGAGAACGATGTATCCTCGACGAAGAAGAACACGGCCAGGATAGCACCCCCGACGGGTCCCAGCGTCCACCAGAAGACGTAGTTCCAGGGCTTGTGCTCGGCAATGAAGCCACCGAGCGTACCACCACCCACGACGGCGAAGATAATCAGCACCTCAAAGATGGCAAATGCCTTGCCACGCTGGTGCAGGAAGAACATGTCCATGATGTACCCACTACCCAAGATCGCGGGAATGCCACCGAACAGACCTGCGAACAGTCGCGAGATGGTAAACGAGATATAATCATTCGGGCCGGTCATCTCGGCTGCCCAGATCTGGCAGGCGAAGATGGCCACCAAACTCCATAGCACGACAGCGCTGCGACCAATGACGGCCACGAAAGGGATAATAAAGAAGGGTCCGGCCACCCATCCAGCCAGACCGGCCGCCACCGAGTTCAGCAGGTCCAGTTGCGTTTTGTGATAGGCAGGAACTTGGTAGACGAAGGTGAGTTGGTTGGAGTTGGGAGACATCTGGGCAGCAAAGCCTGCCAGGCAGATGGACGCGAAGATGATCAGCTTTCTTTGGGTGGACCAGTTCTGCAGTTGGTCAGTCAGATTTCACGCACGGTCAGAACAACGGGGCAGGGCAGGACCCTGCAGGAGGAACACTCACGAGGGGATCTTCCGGATCATCGCTTGGCTGGGGAACCAGCACGATGCCGTTGTCATTCTTCTTAGAATGCTCAGAGCCATCGCTCGAGCTGGCCGCTCGCACGTCCATCGAGGGGACCTTTTCCACCGGTTCGCCAGACATGGCTTTCAGGTACCACGAGGACGGGGCCACTAATGCAAGGGAAACGTGGCAGAGGAGAGAAAAAAAAAGAAAAGTTAAATCAAAGAGGTCTGTTTACAAGGCAACAATGCGGCAGAAGGATTCGTTTATAGAAAGAAGAGACAGCAACCCTGCAGCCATGTGTTTCTTGGTCGGGGTCTAGTGAACGCTATAAGGCTACGGTCATATTTTATACGAGCTGAGAAAATTGCAACGCCCTCGAGGCGAGAGAGCTAATAGGGAAGACCAAAGAGGAGGGTGCTCCGGCCAAGAACTACGAAAAAAAAGTCAAATGGTCCTCACTTGCCTAGTCTCGGTCTCCAGAGACGAAACTAACGCACAGTCGATGTTGCATCGCCCGGCTCTACGTCCGCGAGACGCACGAGCAAATGAAACAGCCCAACGCACCCCCATCGGCGTCTCGGAGGGTCCACAGGCCAGCATCAGCCATCCGATTGCCAAGGGGGCCGGTCCGCTGTTAGGGTGGGTTAGCGGCACGGACTAGATTGCTTAGCGACGGTGGCCAATTTTGCTTGCTGGTCTTAGCGCAAGGTTTAATATCGAACTGTTATTAATGGGCGACTTATATTTCCGAGGGCCTTGCCTGCTCCAGCCGAAGCGTGACATCAACTACGGAGCGTGGAGTCTGGCCTGAGTCCTGACAAGGATGTGTTCCTTGCGGACCCAGTATCCCCCCCCGGACGACGAAATACGGTCATCTCCGGACTGGACAGACTTTGACCAAGTGGGCGAAACTGCATGTTTCAAAGGCCTGTTAGCTGTGGCCAGAATCGCCCGTTTATATTAACTTTTACTCTATGTACAGTATCATATGAAATTATGCAGCCCACCAAGTTCGGAATCCTACCGGGGGGTTTTAGCCCCAATCTCCTCCCCCTGTCTAGTATTATCAATAGTGTGTATTCTGAAGAATCTAAGGCTCGGCAACTCGCTCATTCGAGCTGCGTTCGCCCGGCCCCCTGTACAGCTGGATTTGCATATCCGAGTCCGGCGGGCGCTGGCTTGTTACCACCTCGATAGACATGGTTTTCACAATCCCCTGGTCACTGTGCCACAGGTTCGACTGGCTATCGCCGTCGTTGGAGATACGATCGCCCGGCTCGTCCTCGAGAACGGTTTCTCCCCACTCTCGTCGCGAGTGGTGGCCCGTTGCTAGACTGCGCAGTGGCAACGTGTGCGATTTGGACCGTGTGTAGGACTCTGTGGTCATGGCGTTGTGGCCGATGAGGGGGCGAACCGACGGGGCGGCCGCCGCGATTACTCCGAAAGTAGCTTCCAGACTGGAGAACAGGAAAGAATTAGCATGGTTTCTTGTCACGGTGCCAAACAAGTGGAAAGTAGTGGAATTAGAATGGTATGATGGGTGGAGCGTGCAATACTTACTTGGCCCACATAAACAGTTCAACCAGGTCCCCTAGAGCCATGTTAGTCTATCGACTTCCTCACCAATCGGAGATCCAACGGTTCCGAAGAACAGGAACTGAAGAAATAATACGGAGCACTCACAAGTTGGATCCGTAGTTGTGGTCAAATCAGGCACCAAGGCCGTTCGAGCAATAGCGAATCCCCCACTCCTGTGTGTATGTCAGTAATCATGTGGTAGATGCATATCGAACTCATGATTCAATAAGAAATGACTCACGCAAATCCCAGTGCCATGATGCCACAGATTCCCACCTTCACTCGCTTGGGAAGTTTCACGTTCCACAGAAACAGAATCGGGAGAATCGATAGGACAAAGTCGGTGGCGGCGGCGATTGCTAGGACCCGTCAGTTCTTTGCCTTGTAAATGATCCCCAAAGAGGAGAAACCTACTCCCTTGCGCAATCCCCACCGCATCGATCGCTTCGTTCGACCAGCACGTTCCGTTAATCGACTTGTTCCAATTATACTCGACAGGCGTACATTGCGGGAAGATAACAGCGGCATCGAGAACACTCGTGATGGTGTTAAATGCGATGAAACACCAGAAGAAGATCTTCCATTTATTGCTCGTTAGACTTTTCAGAATAGATATTAGCAATCGTATCGTACCTATCTCCCAGACAAGGGAGCCCGAGGAAACACTTACAAGAGTCTTTTCAAAAACAGACTGATCGCGATCTTCACAAAGATCGTCGAGAAGATAAGCAGGAACTCGGCCACCCGCAGCATCTTCACGCTGTACGCCGAATCCACGGGATCCACGAATTCGACATGTCGACCGAGTCCGTAATGCGTAGCCGCGAGCACCAGACCCATGACGACCAGCACGGTAAGCTGTTCAAGACAATCAGGTTAGGAGTTTCCCACCTCGAAGCACCCGTGGAGGTCTCGTCCTCCAGAGGAGAGATAAACTCACTAAACCAAGCACATTGAACAGATCATCCCAGTCCAGCAACCGGATCATATATCGCCGCACATAGAGTCGTAGAAGGGTCAGGACGAGGGCGAGAACTGTCGTAACAATCGTAGGGATCGTGACCACCGAGGCACGAGAGACATCCTCGTGAGGCGACGGCGAGGACGCCATGAGGCGTAGATGTGATGCTATCGACAAAGACGGACGGATGGGATGCAAGATCGGGCGATATGTTCCATCTCGAGAAATCGAAGTTCTATAGAAGGTAGACGACAAAAAGCCACAATGGACAGCCAAGGCTTGGGTTCGACTATTCCGGCATGGCGAGGAATCGGAAATTCCGTTCCAGGGATCTATAGATGAGCCAATGGAGGGACTCAGGCGGCGTGGCGACAGACGACAGGCGACAGGCGACCAAATAATATCGACCAGAAGGGGGAGCGAAAAATAACAATACGA